GAGCGGTGAGACACGGCCCAGAGAGACATTGGGGAGTTAACCGAGAGAGGCTTACAGCCAGAGAGAAGCTTAGCAAGAAACAGAAAAGCTGGAGGAGGCGAAGCATATCTGCAGCAATGCACAGCTCAAAAAACTCTTTAGCAAACTTGCAATCTTACAGGGATGTGTGGGAGACCTCCTAAAGGTTTCTAATTTAAGAGCACCCAGCTGTACTTCCAGATTTAGTTACTAGTTGCTTTTCCTACCCAACTCCCCCCAAAATTGTTTTTCTCTTTGCATTTCCTAATGGACCTCCTACCAACACTTTAATGGCAGCATTTGTTTGGTGACAACATCCCTGGAGGCTACAGCCAGGGTAGTTTGTGCGTCTAGCTTAGAAACAATAGCACAGGGTTTTCTCTTGCTTGATAGATGTGACCCATAAGACAGGAAAAAAGTGTATGTTTTGGTATTTTTTGTTTTCTTATGGCATAATGATGGATGAGCTTTTTTTTAAAAGAAAATTTCATTATTTTCTTGTTTTTTGGGTTTTTTTCATCATCTCTTGCTTTGTTCTTGCTCTTTTTGCCATGTAGGCAATGGAGCCAAAGGGATTTCATGCCTCAAAACAGAAAGGAATCCTAAGCTACTGAAGGGAATTAAAAGTGGAGTAAGGGGAAAGATTTAAAAAAGGATTTTAAAAGAATTTTTATTCAGACTGTGTAAAAACTCTTCTGAGATTGTTTGAATCAAAACTCCTGAGAAACATGGGAGAAAAGCTCAATTTGTTAAAGATCTGCATTCTCCTGTATCTTCTAAGTGCAACCTGCAAAACTAATCTGATTTCGTTGGTCCTCCGAGAAGTCCTCTAGCAAAAGAAGGCTGGGGGTGGGGGGAACCTCTCTTTTTTGATATTTGTGAGATAAAAAGAAAACCAAGCTCTAAAGCCACTTGCATAAGCTTTGTAAAGCACTATGAAGCAAAAACAAAAAGGCATTTCTTTTGTAGTTACCAAGAAATGCTGGCTCCGTATAGTGCACAAGCATTTTTAATTTAGACAGGTTTGTTGGCTTTTGATCAATAGTACAACAGTGCTAATCAGAAAATGACAGATACTTTTCACGTGGACTTTTTCTGGGTAAAACCTTTTGAACTTTTCTAATTTCTTAACAAAAAATGAGAAAAAAATATTGCTCCTGCCTTTTCTCCAGATACTGTTTTTCATTCCTTTTTCAGAGAGGAAATAGGAGAAAGAGTAAAAGGAAAGATGGGAGAAATAAAACAAACAGAAAATGGGAAAACAGAGAAGTGAAACTCCTCCTCCCTCCAAGTAACTGTTGGGTTTTTTCATTAAATATGCCATTACATTTAAGATTTCCATTTCCAAATGGAAAAAATGTGATTGGCTCCAAATATAAGAACAATGCTTGAGGGCAGGCCCAAAAAGAGCAATAAATCAGAGCAGAAAATATTTTGCTTGGGGAACACATCATGATTAGAACATAAATAATCCTCTTTTCTTCTATATGCAACATAAAATAAACACAGCTGTGTGCACAGGCGCACGCACATACACATGCTCGTACACATACACACGTCCCAGCCCCAGTTCCCCAGGGCAGTTCTCTGAGGGCACGAGAGGTGAAGGGTTATGACAGAGGGGTCGGTGACATGGTGTCTGCTGAAAAATCTCAATAAAATAGAGTAGCGGAGCCAAGCATGCAGATAGCACTCAGAGGTGTCACCAGGAGGAAGCAAATCCTTGGCTGCTGGCCAACAGGGAACTCTGTGTGCCAGTCCCCACAATAAAATACTACTTATTTCTTAGCAATCGTGACAGTCCCAAAATATTTGCTTCTCTGTGGCAGGATCACATAATGGAGGGGGGCCTTAAATTGGGGCTGTGCTGAGAGAGAGGCTTGCCAGGGTACGTGTCTACTCCGAGCTCTACTGCAGAGCTCAGGATCGCTGCACAAATCATGCATAGGTCGCCTGTGTAGGTTAGATGCTCATATGGGGCTGATTTCAAGCACGTATCTGGGGCTCCAGAGCCTTCTACCTGACCTGGGCACTCAGGAGCCTGTTGCTAGCACACAGCAAATTTGAGGGGCTCACGCTGCTGAGCCTGGCCTCGCTGCACGGGCTACGCACAGACTCATCTCATGGCCTACGGGAGAGAGGCTGCTCTCTGGGCTGGGCAAATCCAAAGCACTGCAGGTGCTGCAGATGTGCTCGTGCATACCCACAGCACCCCGTGCCTTCCCAATTCTCAGCCCAGTCTCAAGTACA